CGTGACGTCACTAACCAGTAGGTGGCAGTAGTGTTCTTTGACAAACATGGATGCCTCCAGTAAAGCACATTCACATGAAAATTACTCTGAATTAACAGGGTTTCTGCAGGACATTAAAAAGGATTAAATTCATTAAATATGATTATTGTGCCATTTAAAATACTTTATTTAAGGAAAAGAAATACGTTTATGAAAACAATTTCGTCAGATATATTATGTTGTTATATATTTGCGCGTAACTGCTTCCGGTTGATCGTAAAGCCGTATGTTGCGGAGAAAAAGCTAGAGAATGGGAAAATGGAAATTTCAACTAAAGTGGCTGAAAAACAAGGAATTCGAGACATTGCTGCAGTCACAATTAAATTCGATTAGAGTTCCTCATTCCTGTATAAACCCGGATTAAAAACACAGTATTTAATAATTTCATATTTAAAGTACTTTCAGAAGTTTGAATTCTGAATATGAGCGGACTTTTTCTTTAAAACCAAACTGATTTAAAAGAATTTAAAAAAAAGTCTACATTCTGGCATAATGAACATTCTCTGCTAAACTTCAGTCTCATCCTACCACAAACTAGGAGCTGTAGTCATCGTTTGGGTCATTGTGTTTAATGAATATATAAGGAAAGTATTTGTGAAAGTGAAGGAATTGTTGGTGAAATGTTTTTTATTGTAGTACATGGACCGGACCAGCTTGGAGTCCAGCTCAGAGCATATCCTCTGTCCTCATATCCATTCAGTCCCTGATGACGGAGAACCCGTATCACAACGAGCCCGGCTTCGAGCAGGTAATGCTGCTCATACTGGGCGGCTGTAAAACCAATGGAAACTCTGTTTCTGCTTCTACCACCGTACACCCTATTTCTGCTGTTAGGTTTGTTTCATCTTTTTAGGAAACCATTAACCTTTCTAGGGACGTCCTGATTCAATATCGTTTTTATCTATCAGAACAAAAAGGCAATGTGGGATTATTTGGACCAAAGCTTTTCTAATATTCAACATTACAAAATAAGTAAAAAAGTTACGTATGATTTGTAATAGGGATGCACGATATTGGGATTTTGGCCGATATTGCGATATTTTAAAACTCATGTAGCCGATAACCGATATCGATACCGATGTTAAAGCTGGACAAAAATAAGTAGTCATTGAAAATAGCAG